AAAATTATGACCCCGGGTCTGGAGCAATATGACCCCATCGGAACAATATGACCCGGTCTGGAACAATATGACCGACTTTGGAACATTATGACCCACTCTGGAAAACCCCCCCCCCCCCCCCCCCCCCCCCCCCCCCCCCCCCCCCCCCCCCCCCCCCATTTTGACCCTTTTGGAAATTTTGACCCCCTCTGGAACATTATGACCGGCTCGGAAAAATTATGACCCACTCTGAACATTATGACCGACTCTGGAACATTATGACCGACTCTAAAACATTTTGACCGACTTTGGGAAATTATGACCGGGTCTGGAAATTATGACGACTCTGGAACATTATGACCGCTTGGAAAATTATGACCCACTCTGGAAAAATTATGACCGATCGGACATTAGACCCCTTGGAACATTATGACCGCTCTGGAAAATTATGACCGGCTCTGGAACATTATGACCCACTCTGGAACATTATGACCGACTCTTGAACATTATGACGGCTCTGGAAAAATATGCCGGCCTGGAAAAATTATGACCGACTTGGAACTTTTTGCCCCTTGGAAAATTAATAGACGGTTGGAACAATATGACCGACTTGGAATTATGACCGGTTGGAACTTATGACCGGGTCTGGAACATTTGACCACTCTGGAAAATTATGGGGCCGGTTTTGGGAAAAATATGCCCGGCCCCTTGGGAAAATTTTTGGGCCGACTTGGAAAAATTATGACCGGTTCTGGAAAATATGACCGGCTCTGGAAAAAATTTTTAGGGCTCTGGAAAATTTGACCGGTTTGGAAAAATATGACCCCTCTGGAACATTTTGACGGCTCTGGAACATATGGGGTCTGGGGAAAAATATACCGGCTCTGGAACTTGACCGGCTCGGAACAATATGACCGGTCTGGAACAATATGACCCGGGTCTGGAAATTTTGACGGTCTGGAACAATATGACCGGTTGGAACATTTGACCGGCTCTGGAAAATATCGCCGGAATAAGGATATTGGGAATCCTAAAAACTCTGAAAATTTTGGGGGAATACTCAAAAAACGGGTTTTTTTTTTTAAAATTTTTTGTTTGATTTTACATTTTTTTAAAAATCTATTCAATTGTACATAAAATTAAATTTTTAAGAAAGTTTAGTTTTCCAGCAAAATTATCGATTGGTTTTTACGTCTCTCAGATTCAGTTAACAAATATACTTCGCCTGTAGCTCGAGACAGATTGGAAGATATATTCTCTATCCATTACACGGATACTAATTTAAAAAAATTGCCAAATAACAATTAAGATATTGTGGAGTGAAAGGACACAAGTGCAACTAATGTGACATTTTATTGTGGCAACGTTTCGCTCTCCAGGAGGTTTGTCAAGCCGTTACTTGGAGAGCGAAACGTTGCCACAATAAAATGTCACATTAGTTGCACTTGTGTCCTTTTACTTTACATATTGTCGGTAATTCTACCAACATTATTACAACATACTGTGAGTCCACATGAATGTCATTCTTTCTTCTTCGTTCAACAAACCGGCTGTATCCCACCCAGGCAGGTGACCCAGAAATGAAAAACGCAAGTTTCTCTTTTTAACTTTAAGAATGTATACAGAAAAGGAGGTTACTAGCTCTTTTCTCCCAGCATTTTAGTCGCCTCTTACGACACGCATGGCTTACGGAGGAAGAATTCTGTTCCACTTCGCCATGGAGAATGTCAGTCATTCTTTGAATAAAGCCCAGTAACAATAAAAGCTTGAAGTCTAACTGAAAGACATTCTTCAGCAATTTTTGTGAGATCAGATATTTCCAAGTTTTGAGGAATGTCAGTAAAGTTTGAATGTTATACCTACGTCAACTGAGACTCTGGCTGAGCATCATCCTGGGTGTCGAGTGCATCAAGTTATTTCAAAACCGACCAAGAGAGTCAATGTCAGCTCTGGAACAGACATTAGTATAACATTCAACGAAACACGCCAGTGATAAATGTGTGAAAGCGATCAGAAGACACATTCTCTTGTTATTACCCAAACTGCAGTGATTCTCACTTTGTATAACTATTTAAGTATATAAATAACTTTACAGTTACATAAGCTAAAGTTATTGAAGAGCATCATCTCTGTATGACGCATCAGCCTTGAAATAATGACGTCGTTCGTAAGACGTATTCTCAATTATAATCAACGTGAAACAATGACGTCGTTCGTAAGACGTATTCTCAATTATAATCAACGTGAAACAATGACGTCGTTCGTAAGACGTATTCTCAATTATAATCAACGTGAAATAATGACGTCGTTCGTAAGACGTATTCTCAATTATAATCAACGTGAAACAATGACGTCGTTCGTAAGACGTATTCTCAATTATAATCAACGTGAAACAATGACGTCGTTCGTAAGACGTATTCTCAATTATAATCAACGTGAAATAATGACGTCGTTCGTAAGACGTATTCTCAATTATAATCAACGTGAAACAATGACGTCGTTCGTAAGACGTATTCTCAATTATAATCAACGTGAAATAATGACGTCGTTCGTAAGACGTATTCTCAATTATAATCAACGTGAAACAATGACGTCGTTCGTAAGACGTATTCTCAATTATAATCAACGTGAAACAATGACGTCGTTCGTAAGACGTATTCTCAATTATAATCAACGTGAAACAATGACGTCGTTCGTAAGACGTATTCTCAATTATAATCAACGTGAAACAATGACGTCGTTCGTAAGACGTATTCTCAGTTATAATCAACGTGAAATAATGACGTCGTTCGTAAGACGTATTCTCAATTATAATCAACGTGAAATAATGATGTCGTTCGTAAGACGTATTCTCAATTATAATCAACGTGAAATAATGACGTCGTTCGTAAGACGTATTCTCAATTATAATCAACGTGAAACAATGACGTCGTTCGTAAGACGTATTCTCAATTATAATCAACGTGAAACAATGACGTCGTTCGTAAGACGTATTCTCAGTTATAATCAACGTGAAATAATGACGTCGTTCGTAAGACGTATTCTCAATTATAATCAACGTGATTTATATAGGAAAAGCATATTTTTTTAAACATAAAACTGGAATTGCAATAAGAACAGAGTAAACGGGTGATATTACAATACACAGAACAACAACTGTGAAAAAATAGTGAACTTCCAAGCGCTTTCGTGATTTCTCACACTATCAAGGAACTGTTCCTTGATAATGTAAGAAATCACGAAAGCGCTTGGAATTTCACTTTTTTTTTTTTATCGCAGAGATTGTTCTTTGTAAAACTGGAAAAATGATAACTAAAGATCTCTTCATGTTAGGATAAATCATTTTAAACGTTTGAAGCTCATTACTGTAGGACTCTTACGAGTTTAGCGCTTGGTTATGATTTTAATAATAACTGAAACTGATCAGGTGAGACTAAGTTATGACATGGACAACGATGTTTCAGGAATGTGCTAAATAACTCGGATCACAGGGCAGCCACACCTGTCAGCAGTTACAACAGCCCGTCACCCGTTACAATAAACCTGTCAGCAGTTACAACAGTTCTTCCCCCGTTACAATAAACCTGTCAGCAGTTACAACAGTCCTTCCCCCGTTACAATAAACCTGTCAGTAGTTACAACAGTTCTTCCCCCGTTACAATAAACATGTCAGCAGTTACAACAGTCCTTCCCCCGTTACAATAAACCTCCTGTCAGCAGTTACACAAGCGCTTCCCCTGTTACAATAAACCTGTCAGCAGTTACAACAGCCCTTCCCCCTCGTTACAATAAACCTGTCAGCAGTTACAACAGCCCTTCCCCCTCGTTACAATAAACCTGTCAGCAGTTACAACAGCCCTTCCCCCTCGTTACAATAAACCTGTCAGCAGTTACAACAGCCCTTCCCCTCGTTACAATAAACCTGTCAGCAGTTACAACAGCCCTTCCCCTCGTTACAATAAACCTGTCAGCAGTTACAACAGCCCTTCCCCCTCGTTACAATAAACCTGTCAGCAGTTACAACAGCCCTTCCACCTCGTTACAATAAACCTGTCAGCAGTTACAACAGCCCTTCCCCCTCGTTACAATAAACCTGTCAGCAGTTACAACAGCCCTTCCCCCTCGTTACAATAAACCTGTCAGCAGTTACAACAGCCCTTCCCCTCGTTACAATAAACCTGTCAGCAGTTACAACAGCCCTTCCCCCTCGTTACAATAAACCTGTCAGCAGTTACAACAGCCCTTCCACCTCGTTACAATAAACCGATCTCTTGTTATAAACGACAGTTTGCAAGCGGTTAGAAAATAAAAAGAAAAAGAAGATAAAATGAAAAACTTTTCAGGGAACCCCATAAAAATAGCTCTTTTTGGATGCCTGATAAAACATAAATAAACTATAGTAAAACTCCCAGATAACTCCAGCCTTATTTATCAAAAAAGTAATCAGAGTTTTAACTCATTTTTCATCAAATATCGCCGAGTATCGTTCCTAGGTAAGACGACTTGATGGTGACCAACTCACCTGTGTTTAGTAAGTAACACGTAACTTAAAACATGTCATGTAACTCTTGAATACGAAGATAAACGCTACGGAGTCCACAAGATAATTAAGGTGTCTCTCTCCAAGCCAGCCGTATATCTCAGAAAAACTAATCCATAGATTAGTGTATATGTCTTAGAATACACAAGGCAAAATCAAGTATACGTCTCATCAAACCCAAGACAATGAGAGTATCCTAGATTCGTAGTTTAAAAAGACACATGATCAAACACTAGGATATATGTATTAGAAAACGTTCCAGTCTCGGGACCTTGATTACTTCAGGTCACCATGTGTCCCTCACACCTCACTTTACTCCTAAATATACTGCCATTTCGGTCCCAGGACCAAAACGTGTTCTGGTAAATATATTCTCGTGTTTGTTCACGTGTCATTTTCAATCAATTTGTTGGTATCTATTACCAAGGTTAACACCACCTCAGATTCATGAGAGCCCCAAAAATTATGTATCTTTACTTACCTTGATACACATGCATAGTGAGAATGGGAAGGTAGCAACGATGAGGAGATACGAGACAATAGTGAGGATTATCGCACAGCATCCAGGCCCCTCCGGGTTAGCTAGAGGAAGGAGGAGAAATGAACTAGAGATTAGCGAGATGAGCTTCAGATGACGAGGAGGTGTTGTGTTTGGGGGATCAGTGGGCATCAGGAGGGAAGGTGAGAGGATAATATGGGATAACATTGAGATCTGGGGGGATGTGATGAACGAGATCGAGAGATGTGGAGATAGTGAGATGTGAGAGATGACGTGGTGACATGGTAGGAAGATCTGTGATACAACGAAAGATAAGACATAAATGAAACATGAAAAGGAATTATGAAATAAAAAGGAGTGAGAGTAACAGTTTCTGAGGGAAAACAGAAACGTAAAATTAAGTCAAAGATCACATCAAAATTTAGCTGTCTTAGGTAAGTTTTGTCAGGAAAGAGGACAAGTGTTTCCCGACTCGGGTCTTAGTCATATGATGACCCATCATTAGAGATCCTGGTCATCTGACCGAGATCTTTAGCTGGCTTACCCGTCCACCTCTTTTAAAAAAACTATTGCTATAATTAAGCTGTGACAACCTTTCTGTGTAGAGTAATCGATGGGCTTCATAACGCTTGACACAGCCAAACTTTGTAACAATAAAACGTTCATCTCTAAGTATGTCATGTCTACGTTACTGTCAGCTGCTGCTCAATCTACTTTTTAGAGATAAAAACAGAATCTTACTATATTATCAAAGTAACACATTGAAGAGAGTGTTGTGTCCACCAGACCAGTGTTGTGTCCATCAGACCAGAGTTGTGTCCACCAGACCAGTGTTGTGTCCACCAGACCAGTGTTGTGTCCACCAGACCAGTGTTGTGTCCACCAGACCAGTGTTGTGTCCACCAGACCAGTGTTGTGTCCACCAGACCAGTGTTGTGTCCACCAGACCAGTGTTGTGTCAAACAGACCAGTGTTGTGTCCACCAGACCAGTGTTGTGTCAAACAGACCAGTGTTGTGTCCACTAGACCAGTGTTGTGTCCACCAGACCAGTGTTGCGTCCACCAGACCAGTATTGTGTCCAGCAGACTAGTGTTGTGTCCACTAGACCAGTGTTGTGTCCACCAGACCAGTGTTGTATCCACCAGACCAGTGTTGTGTCCACCAGACCAGTGTTGTGTCCACCAGACCAGTGTTGTGTCAAACAGACCAGTGTTGTGTCCACTAGACCAGTGTTGTGTCCACCAGACTAGTGTTGCGTCAAACAGACCAGTGTTGTGTCCACCAGACCAGTGTTGTGTCCACCAGACCAGTGTTGTGTCCACCAGACCAGTGTTGTATCCACCAGACCAGTGTTGTGTCCAGCTGACTAGTGTTGTGTCCACTAGACCAGTGTTGTGTCCACCAGACCAATGTTGTGTCAAACAGACCAGTGTTGTGTCCACCAGACCAGTGTTGTGTCCACCAGACCAGTGTTGTGTCCACCAGACCAGTGTTGTGTCCACACTACCATTGGAGTGTCCACCAGACCAGTGTTGTGTCAGACAGACCAGTGTTGTGTCCACCAGACCAGTGTTGTGTCCACACTACCCTTGGAGCGTCCACCAGGCCAGTGTTGTGTCCACACTACCCTTGGAGCGTCCACCAGGCCAGTGTTGTGTCCATGAAGTCAGTGTAACATCCACCAGGTCAGTGTGGCGTTCACCAGGTCAGTGTGGCGTTCACCAGGTCAGTGTGGCGTTCACCAGGTCAGTGTGGCGTTCACCAGGTCAGTGTGGCGTTCACCAGGTCAGTGTGGCGTTCACCAGGTCAGTGTGGCGTTCACCAGGTCAGTGTGGCGTTCACCAGGTCAGTGTGGTGCCCATGTCAGTGTAGCGTCCACCAGACAGTGGAGTCCATCCATCAAGTCATTGTAACGTCTACCAGGTCAGTGTGGTGTCCACCAGACCAATGTGGTGTTCAATAGGTCAGTGAAACGTCCAAAGAACCAATGTGGTGTCCGCCAGACCAGTGTGGTGTATACAAGACGAGGGAGGTGTCCACCCGACCAGTGTAGTGTGCACCAGACCAGTATGGTGTCCGCCACATCATTGTGGTGTCCATCAGACCAGTGTGGTGTCCTCCAGAACAGTGTAGCGTCTAACAGACGAGTTTGGTATTCTGCAGACCGGTCTGGTGTCCACCAGGCCAGTGTAACGTCCAACAGACCATGTGGTGTCCACCAGACCAGTGTAACGTCCAACAGACCAGTGTGGTGTCCACCAGACCAGTGTAACGACCAACAGACCAGTCTGGTGTCCACAAGACCAGTGTAACGTCCAACAGACCAGTGTGGTGTCCACAAGACCAGTGTAACGTCTAACAGACCAGTCTGGTGACCAACAGACCAGTGTAACGTCTAACAGACCAGTCTGGTGTCCACCAGACCAGTGTAACGTCCACCAGATCGGTGTGGTGTCCACCAGATCAGTGTGGTGTCCACCAGATCAGTGTGGTGTCCACCAGATCAGTGTGGTGTCCATCAGACCAGTGTGGTGTCCATCAGACCAGTGTGGTGTTCATCAGACCAGTGTGGTGTTCATCTCAACATTGTGGTGTCCATCTCAACATTGTGATGTCCATCTCAACATTGTGGTGTCCATCTCAACATTGTGGTGTCCATCTCAACATTGTGGTGTCCATCTCAAAATTGTGGTGCCCACCTCAACATTGTGGTGTCCTCCTCAACATTGTGGCGTCCACCTCAACATTGTGGTGTCCATCAGACCAGTGTAGTGTATAACATGTCATGTATCTCTATTAAATAACCCATAACATTAATGACGGTTTTCTAATGTCAAATTATTGCTGACTATAGTAAAAATTATTTACATAAACAAATTATATTGAAGTTGCAGAAAACACGAATTTCGTCAACAGAATTGATAGCAGTGGTAACAGGAGCAGCAGTGGTAACAGAAGCAGCAGTGGTAACAGGAGCAGCAGTGGTAACAGGAGCAGCAGTGGTAAGAGTAGCAGCAGTGGTAACAGGAGCAGCAGTGGTAACAGGAGCAGCAGTGGTAACAGGAGCTGCAGTGGCAACAGTAGCAGCAGTGGTAACAGTAGCAGCAGTGGTAACAGTAGCAGCAGTGGTAACAGGAGCAGCAGTGGTAACAGGAGCAGCAGTGGTAACAGGAGCAGCAGTGGTAACAGTAGCAGCAGTGGTAACAGGAGCAGCAGTGGTAACAGGAGCAGCAGTGGTAACAGGAGCTGCAGTGGTAACAGTAGCAGCAGTGGTAACAGTAGCAGCAGTGGTAACAGTAGCAGCAGTGGTAACAGGAGCAGCAGTGGTAACAGGAGCAGCAGTGGTAACAGGAGCAGCAGTGGTAACAGTAGCAGCAGCGGTAACAGGAGCAGCAGTGGTAACAGGAGCAGCAGTGGTAACAGGAGCAGCAGTGGTAACAGGAGCTGCAGTGGTAACAGTAGCAGCAGTGGTAACAGTAGCAGCAGTGGTAACAGGAGCAGCAGTGGTAACAGGAGCAGCAGTGGTAACAGGAGCAGCAGTGGTAACAGGAGCAGCAGTGGTAACAGTAGCAGCAGTGGTAACAGGAGCAGCAGTGGCAACAGGAGCAGCAGTGGTAACAGTAGCAGCAGTGGTAACAGGAGCAGCAGTGGTAACAGGAGCAGCAGTGGTAACAGGAGCAGCAGTGGTAACAGGAGCAGCAGTGGTAACAGGAGCAGCAGTGGTAACAGTAGCAGCAGTGGTAACAGGAGCAGCAGTGGTAACAGGAGCAGCAGTGGTAACAGGAGCAGCAGTGGTAACAGTAACAGCAGTGGTAACAGTAGCAGCAGTGGTAGTAGTTTAAAAAAGTGGTAATTTCTTCAGTCGTTGTGAAGCAATAGTATTGGCAATTAACTTCTGATTTTATTATCAACTGGTCACTGTGGGTTTTTATTATCAACTGGTCACTGTGGGTTTTTATTATCAACTGGTCACTGTGGGTTTTTATTATCAACTGGTCACTGTGGGTTTTTATTATCAACTGGTCACTCTGGGTTTTTATTATCAACTGGTCACTGTGGGTTTTTATTATCAACTGGTCACTGTGGGTTTTTATTATCAACTGGTCACTGCGGGTTTTAATTATCAACTGGTCACTGTAGGGTTTTTATTATCAACTGGTCACTGTGGGTTTTTATTATCAACTGGTCACTGTGGGTTTTTATTATCAACTGGTCACTGTGGGTTTTTATTATCAACTGGTCTCTGTGGGTTTTTATTATCAACTGGTCACTGTGGGTTTTTATTATCAACTGTTCACTGTGGGTTTTTATTATCAACTGTTCACTGTGGGTTTTTATTATCAACTGGTCACTGTGGGTTTTTATTATCAACTGGTCACTGTAGGGTTTTTATTATCAACTGGTCACTGTAGGGTTTTTATTATCAACTGGTCACTATGGGTTTTTATTATCAACAGGTCTCTGTGGGTTTTTATTATCAACTGGTCACTGTGGGTTTTTATTATCAACTGGTCACTGTGGGTTTTTATTATCAACTGGTCACTGTGGGTTTTTATTATCAACTGGTCTCTGTGGGTTTTTATTATCAACTGGTCACTGTGGGTTTTTATTATCAACTGGTCACTGTGGGTTTTTATTATCAACTGGTCACTGTGGGTTTTTATTATCAACTGGTCTCTGTGGGTTTTTATTATCAACTGGTCACTGTGGGTTTTTATTATCGACTGGTCACTGTGGGTTTTTATTATCAATTGGTCACTGTGGGTTTTTATTATCAACTGGTCACTGTGGGTTTTTATTATCAACTGGTCACTGCGGGTTTTAATTATCAACTGGTCACTATGGGTTTTTATTATCAACTGGTCACTCTGGGTTTTTATTATCAACTGTTCACTGTGGGTTTTTATTATCTACTGGTCAATGTGGGTTTTTATTATCAACTGGTCACTGTGGGTTTTTATTATCAACTGGTCACTGTTGGTTTTTATTATTAACTGGTCACTGTGGGTTTTTATTATCAACTGGTCACTATGGGTTTTTATTATCAACTGGTTACTGTGGGTTTTTATTATCAACTGGTCA